GATCAATATGGCTCCAACCTGGATACGTATGTGTGTGCGTGTGTGCGCGCGTGCGTGCGTGCATGGCTGATGGCAGTTATACAGAGATTAGAATGAAATAATTTATTTGTGGAACATTTTGAATGTGCGAAAATCTATTCTTTTTTTAAAAGTAAAAGATTCTAAATACATTTCCTTCACCAAATAATAGAACGCTGTTTTTGCAACTCTCATATATAATCTGAATATTTTGTACACAGGAAGAATTCATTGTACATCTTGGATGCTCATTGTTAATTTTCCAGCTTCACTCTGCAGCCGTAGGACAGGAGTAAAAAATGAGGGTCAGATGGGCAGAAGGGAAGAGAGTCAAGATAGTAATATAATATGAAATGTTTGGCAGTTTTCCCAGCTAGGGAGAGCATACATTTTTGTGTGCAATAAATGTTGACATTTCAATCAAAATTATCACACACATTTTGGCAGAGGAGTACAGGTGAGTTAAAAAGTCACGTCACAACCTAAAACCATGGTTGATATTTCTATAAAATAAACTCATAACACTGGGGATAGATTTTGAAGGGTTTGGCTCCTGCTCTTTGCTTTCTTGAGGCTACAGTAGTGCTTAAAAGGTGGGGTGGGGTTGAGTAGACAGTCAAAAAGAGGGTAAGGCCATCCTTCCCACAAACACTTAGGCTTTCTCATCTACCCAAAGAACACCTTGCTCTATTTCATGCTCACTCATACCTGCACCCTGAGGCTGCTGCAGGCTTTTTCTAGACTTCCTGGACCCTTATAGCAACCCCTCTGCTTAATTATATAATTCTCAAGCTCTTGCCTGCTCAGCACAACCCTCCCAAGTTCAGCTTCTCTCACACTGCATCAGAAGTGTCCATGAAATCACCTGCCATTGTCACCGGTGAGAAATGTTATTTGTTCATAAAACTCTACAGCTTTGTTGCAATCAACTAAGGCCCTATATCATTATAGTTTCTAGGTTAGTAGAGAGGTTAATTATGGGAAGAAATAACATGCTGAGTTTTGACATTCAATTAAGTGCTTTATCTATTTATATATATTAAATGGCTAAAAAATACTTCTTTATTTTATTTCATAGGATCCTTCAAACCAAAAATGTGGCAGAAAGAAAACTGTGTCCTTCAGCAGCATGCCATCCGAGAAGAAGATAAGCAGTGCTAGTGACTGTATCAGTTTTATGCAGGCTGGATGTGAACTGAAGAAAGTTCGTCCAAATTCCCGGATTTATAATCGTTTTTTCACTTTAGACCCTGACTTGCAAGCTCTTCGGTGGGAACCTTCCAAGAAAGATCTTGACAAAGCTAAGCTTGATATCTCTGCTATAAAAGAGATCAGACCAGGGAAAAACACTGAAACATTCAGAAACAATGGACTTGCAGACCAGATTTCTGAGGACTGTGCTCTCTCTCTAATTCATGGGGAGAACTATGAATCTCTAGACCTGGTTGCCAATTCAGCTGATGTGGCCAATATTTGGGTGTCAGGTTTGCGTTACTTGGTTTCACGTAGCAAGCAACCTCTAGATTTGATGGAAAGCAGCCATAATACCCCTCGGTTTGTGTGGCTAAAAACGGTATTTGATGCTGCAGATGTTGATGGCAATGGTATAATGTTGGAAGATACATCTGTAGAGTTAATAAAACAGCTTAATCCTACTCTAAAGGAATCAAAGATCAGGTTAAAATTTAAGGAAATCCAGAGGAGTAAAGAAAAACTCACAACTCGAGTAACTAAAGAGGAATTCTGTGAAGCATTCAGTGAACTTTGCACAAGACCTGAGGTGTATTTCTTACTAGTGCAGATATCAAAAAACAAGGAATATTTAGATGCCAATGACCTCATGCTGTTTTTAGAAGCTGAGCAAGGAGTGACACATATCACAGAAGAAATGTGTCTAGATATTATCCGCAGATACGAGCTTTCTCAGGAAGGACGGTTGAAAGGATTTCTTGCTATTGATGGATTTACTCAGTATTTGTTATCCCCAGAATGTGACATTTTTGACCGTGAACACAAAAAAGTTGTCCAAGACATGACCCAGCCTTTATCACATTACTATATCAACGCATCTCACAATACATATCTAATAGAAGATCAGCTCAGAGGACCTGCTGATATTAATGGTTATGTTAGGGCTTTAAAGATGAGCTGTAGGAGTATTGAACTTGATGTTTGTGATGGTCCAGATAATGAGCCCATCATCTGTAATCGTAATAACATGACATCACCACTTGCCTTTCGAAGTGTTATTGAAGTAATAAACAAATTAGCTTTCATTTCTTCAGAATACCCTCTCATTCTCTGCTTGGGTAATCACTGTTCAGTACAACAACAGAAGGTAATGGTTCAACACATGAAGAGGATATTTGGAAACAAATTGTACACAGAAGCACCTTCACCATCAGAAACCTACCTCCCATCACCAGAGAAACTGAAAATGAAGATCATTGTGAAAGGGAAGAAGCTTCCTCCTGACGAGGATATATTAGAAGGAGAAGTAACTGATGAAGATGAAGAGGCTGAAATATCTCGAAGGATGTCTGAAGACTACAGTAGTGCACCAAGGCTGATCTGGCTCTTCAGGGAACTCTCTGATTTGGTATCTTTGTGCAAATCTGTCCGGTACAAAGATTTTGAGACATCTATGAAAAGTCAAAATTATTGGGAAATCTGCTCTTTTAGCGAGGCAGAAGCCAACAGAGTTGCAAATGAGTATCCAGAAGACTTTGTCAATTACAACAAAAAGCTTTTATCGAGGGTATATCCAAGTGCTATGAGGATAGATTCCAGTAACTTAAATCCTCAAGATTTTTGGAATTGTGGTTGCCAGATTGTGGCAATGAACTACCAGACACCAGGACCCATGATGGATCTACATACTGGCTGGTTTCTCCAGAATGGAGGATGTGGATATGTCCTTAGACCTTCTGTTATGCGTGATGAAGTGTCTTATTTCAGTGCAAATACAAAGGGCATTCTTCCAGGGGTCTCTCCTCAAGTTCTACATGTGAAAATTATCAGTGGACAGAACTTTCCAAAACCCAAGGGAGCTTGCGCAAAAGGGGATGTCATAGACCCATATGTTTGCATAGAAATACATGGAATTCCGGCAGACTGTACTGAACAAAGAACTAAAACTGTTCAGCAAAACAGTGATAATCCTATTTTTGATGAAAGTTTTGAGTTCCAAATAAATCTGCCAGAACTTGCTATGATCCGTTTTGTTGTTTTGGATGATGACTATATTGGTGATGAGTTTATAGGTCAGTATACTATACCACTTGAATGTTTACAGCCAGGATATCGGCATATACCCCTGCGCTCTTTTGTTGGAGATATCATGGAGCATGTTACACTTTTTGTTCACATTGCAATAACTAATCGAAGTGGAGGAGGAAAGGCCCAAAAGCGTAGCCTGTCCGTGAGAATAGGAAAGAAAGCAAGAGAGTATACCATGCTGAGGAACACAGGCCTTAAGACTATTGATGACATCTTTAAACTAGCAGTACATCCATTACGAGAAGCGACTGACATGAGGGAAAATATGCAGGTAAGAGAATTTTACTTCAAAATTGCTTTGTTCTGAACACTTGCAGGATTGTGATCTTAGTGTAATGCTTTTAAAGTAAATGGATATGCTTTATCTTACTCGTATCTTACCTGCCTAATTAACACAGCATCCAACTCTTGGGCTAGGGACAGAAGTTACACGTAAACCACTTTGAAGTGATCAGAAACTGGTTTAAACCTGTAACCGAACAGAAGTTCAGTGCACATAAACCAGTTTCAAAATGGCCAAATGTTTAAGATAAACCTGGTTGAATGTAGTATCAGACTTAACTGATTTGGGTCAAACTGGTTTATGGAACTTCTGTCCCAGACCCCTTCCTGGCTTAGGTTCTGTCAGAGTCCCCCAGCATCCCAGCATGCTTTTCAGCCCTGGGTGGGGCTGTCTGTTTCAGAGAGCAGGGCTGGCCCCAACCCTCTCCTCTCTAGCTGGAGCTCCAGCTGGCTGAGAAGGAAGTGGAGACTGCAGACACAGCAGCATCTGCTTGCTGCTCAGGCAGGGATCCCTTCCTTCCTCCTCTCCCACAGCATGGACCCCAGTGCCATGGACCTCATCTGGCATCTGTTCATGGTCACACCACCCCCATTTTAGCTAATGCTGAGAGGTGTCTATGTGTGTGTGTCTCCAATTTTACTGGAACAAAGGCAGACAGAACAGTGTCTGCTTAGGGCTTTTGGGAGCTGATCAACAGGTCAGCTGGTAATGTCTCTCCATTCTTCCTTCAAAATGCTTTGCAAAAAGCTGTTTAAGAAGGGCTTGAACTTTGTTTTCTTGATGGGCTGATAAACTTTTTGTTTTGATAAGCTCCTTGCTGGCTTGCTGTCAGTGTTCAACGGGGGACAGAGAGAGGTGTGAGAAATGACCTGGTTTGCAATTAATGTTGTCCCTGTCATTTTGCTGCAGACAAGATGAAGAAGTAAGGAGAGAGAGATTGAAAAGCTCTGTGTCATCAACAGTTGCATTCAGTCCATACAAGCAGTCCTCCCTCCAACCCTGCTCTTTTGCCTCAGAGTGCTAGCGTGGGGGGAGGGGGCAGGATCTGGCCATATTCCTGCCCCTTGATCAGTGAGCAAGGGGGAACAGCCTGGTGAGGACTGCCTCCCCCTCCCCCTCCAGGCACACCCAGGCTGGGGACTGTGCAGTCTGGGGTGGGGGTTTAAACTCCTCCATAATCATAATGTCCTGCTGGGGCCTGGGCACGCCCCCCTCTCCATCAGCTCAGCACTGTAAAATGGAGCGAGGGCTCACTCTAACATTCCCCAGTTTCTAGCCTGAGCCCCTGCAGGCATGTACCTGTATGTCCTGAATCAAAAGTGAATGTCTATCCACTTTAGGGTTACCATATTTCCAGATCTAAAAAAGAGGACACCTGTCACTGGGGGGAGGGGGGAGGGAGAAATATGATGGTGGGGGGGCAGTGACATGCCCATTGCCCAGCCCCTGCCCATTCTGTTGCCCCTCACTGACAAGCCACATGCCTCCCTCCTCCACCCGCCCTGCTGCTGCCCCTCACTCTGGATCCATTGACCCCAGCCCTGTTGGTACCTCTCACTCCAAAACAGTAGTACCCTGCTCTGCACCCCTTGCTGATGCCCCTCACTCCCGACCCGCAGACTTCCCACAGCCCTGCCAGTGCCCTGCACACCCAACCCACAGTCACCTGTCCTATCCCCTGTGCCCCTCACTCTCGACCCACAGCCCCCTGCCCCCTGGGCCTGCCAATATCTCTCCATCCCTACCCACAGCTCCTACCCCTCAGCCCTGTCAGTGTCCCTCATTCTCGACCTGCAGACCCCTGCCCCCCCGCTGCCCGAGCAGCTCCTGCATTGTGCGTATGCCCCTCCCCTTCTCTCTCTCTCCCATTTGCTGGAGCCTGCGTGGGAGCACGTGACCCAACAGCCAATCACCTTGCCTGCTGCTCCCAGTTCCAAGCAGCCTGGCCAGGAGAGCAGAAAACCCGGACATTTCCTCTTATTTTAAAAACCTGCCCAGATGCAGCACAGGGGGCCAAAAAAGAGGACATATCTGGGAAAACCCAGACATATGATGACCCTAATCCATTTGCAAATTAATACAATCTCTGCAGGTTAGTCTAACCTGCAAAGTTGGAATCAATTCAGGCTTGGGCTTTTTGAATGTCTGGCCCTAGCCTTAGTATTTAAAAGATAAAGGATCTAGCAGCTCAAGCTTTATGTTTACAGAAGTTAATTAATCTATAAATGTTAGGCTTAGATCTATTTTTTTCAAGGATATAGAAACAGTCTAGTTTCTTTAGTCAATTGGGAGATTACATTTAAGGACTAGAGGGAGATTACAACCAGCCACCCTCCTTTTATTTGGAGAACATCAAATAATCTTTATTTTGCTAGTTAGTAAAAAGATTTTATTAATATGCCCAACGTTTGTGAAGAAACACCTCAGTGGGTTATGTCATTAAGGTCTTATCTACACCAGATATATCTTCTAAGGAAAGTATGGTCTTATCTAGAACTCCTTGCCCCTCACATGCATATTTCAGACCTTTACAGGTACACCAGATACTATTTGGAATTAAGTTTGCTTTCAGCTAAATATTGGTTTAGTTTGAACTGGTTTACTGCTAGTGGACAATACTAGCAAGCGTTACACTAAAACAGTTTAGATACTTTTCCTGGTACTGCATTCATAATGTTTTGGCGGGGTGGGGTGGGGTTGTTTTGCTTTTTTTGTTTGTTTGAAAATTCTCAGAATTTGCTGCTGTTTGACTCGTTAGGAACTGGTAGGGTAAGTACCCAGCATACATAACAATGGAACAAACTTTGATTAGTGCTGTATATATCAGGGTGAACTGCACTGGTTCAGTACAGGAGCCACCCTGGTTGATTGCACTTTGTGCTTTGGTTGATATAGTTTCACTTGTACAGTTGGGAACCATTTGGTTAATTCTTGTGTGCTTCCAAAGAAAAACAAAAGTGCATAACATTAAGCAATGACACTTAAAATATATATATATTTGAATGGACAATAACTCTCTCTGGTGAAACTAAGACACCTGTACATTTATTCTTGAGAAATGGGAGGAAAACACATTTTATATTACCTCAATGACCCTGCTATTCTGGACAGGGTCTAAAGTAAATTAAGTTGGCAGCTGGAAAAGTTTACAAAATGATTTAAGTTTTAAATCATTCTCAGAGGAATATTTTAGGCATATTTTTAAGAATGGGAAACTTCCCAACTTTTCCTTTCCTGCAGACCTTGGAAGTAACTAGTTTGAACCTTTGACTCAGTCTTCTGTTCCCTTTCCTTCTGTAACAATAAATATTAGATTAAAACAGTGTATATGAAGTAGCATAGGAAGAAAAAATATCTATAAATATGACCCAAAGATAGCTTTAGCATTTGTTGAAAGACTAAATTTCAGCACAAGATCTTGTTCTCAAGGATGTTCTGTAGAACAAATAGTCAACAGATTTTGCCCTTTTAATCTTTATACAAATATCTTTGCTTAATAAAAAAGCCTCTAATAATTTGTTGGAATTTTTCTGATGATTGGCAGGCAAAGAAAATGTAGGGTGGGTCACATTTGTGTGTTTTTATTGCTACAGGGTTCTCTTACCATGACTTTGTACATGCTGGTAATTTTATGACAAGGGAGAAGGTAAATAATGAAGACATATCAGTCACCATCCACTGTTTTTGCTGAAATCCTTGTGTGTTGGTTTAGTTTGACCTGTACATCTTTTATAGATTTTTCTTACATATGACTTATGAAGGGGAAAAAATGTTTGTGCCCCTCCTTTTCTTTTAACTCTTTTCTGATATGAAATGCCATCCCAAAAAAGAATTAATTATTTCCTGCTTGCTTTTCCAGGAAAAATGACAGGTTTTTCTTATTTCTTTCTACTGAACAACACCCAGATGACTGGAGCATTTGTACAACAATAGAAGTGACTGAAATCTGAGAAAAGGGGGGAAGAGTTTTTTTTTGATGAAACTGTTTAAAGTGTGGGGAGTGGGAAGAGAAGGAGAAATCTAGCCAGTGAAAAGCAGCTGTAAAACTGGCAAATGGGCTGCCTGAGCACTCCTCCAGTATGGGAATCCACAGATGGGAAAGGTCTGGGGAAAAGAGGATGAAGCTGGGTATCTCTAGGTGTATATGTCCATGCCTCAGCAATCCATGGTTGCTGGAACATCCCATTGGTGTGGTAGGCAGCCCTCAAGCTATTCTAGTTAGGTCTCATGGACAAACTGATGGTAGGCCTGGATGAAGGAGCATACAACTGCAGAGGGGCAGAATCTGAGTATTTGGCCTTATGGGGTGTGTATGTGAGGAGGGTGGGGGTGGATTTTCTTTTACTAATATTTAACTCAAACTACTTAGAAAAATTAGAACAAAGGGGTTTTCTTGCCCTTGAACAAGTTAGCTAAAATTACAGACGATAAGGATATATTTTATTTCTTGTATTTCTTAATTCAAAAAAAGATGCAGAAAAACAAAATGTCCTGCCTTTTTAATGATCTGGCATCTTTAATCAGTTGAAGACCCAGCCCCATTTTTTTTACCTCACTCATGCAGTTTACCCCTTAATTTTTACCCATTTCTTGTCCTCAGAAGCATCACATTGTAAATGTGTTAATTACAGTCCTATGACCCAGCAAGCTTATACTAAAATCTTCCAGCTGTGATCAAAGCCCTGCAAACCTATGGGCAGGTTTGAGTCTGTATATGTGATAGAGAAGCAAAGAGAAGTAAACAGACATTGGTGTCTTGCTTATCATTATATTTGGGTTTATAGAAGTAACAGTCACTGCAAAACTATTTTCCCCCCCAACAGAATTCCATAGTGTCTATTAAAGAGCTTTGTGGACTCCCTCCGATTGCCAGTCTGAAGCAGTGCATCCTAACTTTGTCCTTACGGCTTATAAACAGTGACAACACACCGTCCGTCACTCTCTGTATGAAAGATACGTTTCCTTACTTGGAACCTCTGGGCACCACGCCTGATGTACAGAAAAAAGTTCTAGCTGCATATGATCTGGTACGTTCTTTTATATCTATGAGTATTTCTTTTCTTCTTCTGTTACTTTGTTTTGGCTAGACTTTGAAAATGTGGCTTGTGAGTTCATGCCTGCATTGCTTTGTGAGAAGCACCTTTTGAAGTCAGTGTGGCTATTTCTACAAGCATCTAAATAATTATCTCTATATATTTATATCTAGTTATATATACAAATAAAACCATGATTTATAGTTTATCCACATATCTAGAAATTTTCATAATCAAGATATATATGTGATAATATAGAAATCTAATACATATTATATGTCGATAGATAGATATTCATAATTAGTGCGCACACATGCTAATTTTGAAAATTGATTGATATATATATTTTAAACAGTTGCAGCTAGCAGGGTTTAGAGCTAAAAAAAGTAACAGCTACACAACTTGACCAGAGGCACAGTGCTGTTATCATTCAAAAGCAATCTTACTTCTTTGATGCTCTTTGCTGACTTCCAGACAGTAGAGGGTGAGGTCATTAGAAAGGGAAGAAGCCTGAGAAATACAGTGAACTAGACATGAGAGGTTCCGTTCCCATTGCCTGTGGCCAGTTATTACAAGTAATGTCAACTGGTGAACTTAACGTTCTTGCCAAAACAAATAAATGTTGCTCCTCAGAGGAGTGTGAAAAAGTTGAAAGGGAAGTTTTTTAAAATGCCCATGTTCATATATAATGAGGGATTGGAGTGGTCTTACTATAAATTGGTATTTCTGTATACATTAAGGTCCGTGTTAAAATCATTCCAGTTAAAACAACAGTTTGGCCATGTCTTATAAATTTTATTTATTATTGGGGACAAAATATGAACTGTAAGTGTATAATTTATAATATCCATAACCTAGAATTGTGACTGACACATTTTACTACCATGTGTAGCAAAATACTGGGTTATTAGAGTACCTCCCTTTTTGCTTCCCTTCCCTGGCAAATAGTCTACATTGATTGATAATGTATATTTTTGGTGAACTCTGACTTAGATATTGTATTTTGTTCCATGAGAATAAAACCCAATCTTGTTATATTATTTTACAGCTATTCGAGTGAAAATGTTGCTGGTTATGGCCTTATGCCTATGAATCAGGGCTGTCCAACTGGCAGACTGGGGTCTATGTGCAGCCTGTGAGGGATTAAGTTGTGGTCCCTGGGCTCCCACTCAGCCACCACTCCCCCATCCCTCTGGCTACAACAGCAGCTGGAGTCCCTGGCTCCTCTGGCTTCTGTTGCCTGCCCCTGTCTAAAGGAACAGTGTGGCATAGCCTGGGACATGAAGAATGAGGATGAGGACATGTGGGTGTGCAGACCAGCAGTATGGTGTGGTTTGGGGGTGGTGGGGAGAAGGGCACCCGCATGGGCACATGGTGCAACAGGTTGTATCCATGTAGCATGCTGCCCAGGGGGCCCATGGGTTGTCCTGGTGTGGCTCTGAGGATGCCCCCCTACTGGAGCAGCCTGCAGGACATGTGACCCCTACTGGCAAAGCTGTTTGGCATCTGACCCCTGGCTCTTTAGAAGTTGGACAGCCCTGCTGTAACTAATACAATGACAGAGTCATTTCTAATACAGGATTGCCTCCAGAAATGTTAGAGGTTGCAAGATAGACTGAACCACAGATACTATATGCTGCATGCTTTTTTTGTCTCATTTGTTTTTATTCTAATGTTTTCCAAGATAAATAAAATGTATCTTTTGGGGTCTGGGATGATTTACAATTCAATTTTTTAAAAATTATTTTAAATCTCCAATGATGTTTGAATTTTTTCCAAAAAAAGTTTAGTACTGAATAGAAGTTAATTAAATTTAAGTAATAAAACTCCAGCCATGATAATATAAGCCTGAGGATTTGGAAATCCAGTTGGCCTCTGTACTAACTGAAGTCATTATTTTGGAGCCTTAGCTTTTCTGATCGAGCTGCTGGCCTGAAGATCAGATTGCCATATAAATAAAAGCCATTCCCCTTTGGAAACTTAATGAAGGTTTTTCTTTTCCTGGAATTCATATGTGGTATCTCATCTTCATAACTATATTCTGAAGAATACATGTGAGTTTTTAGGAATGCCTTATATGTGAAATGCCTCTTTTCAATTTAGACAAAATATTTGTATAACTTTTTTCATACAGAGGCTTTAGGTTTTGTTGTGGTGCAGGCGTGTGTAACTCTAAGGATATATGCAGACGTTTGCCGCACCTGATCTATGATCACACAGTTTACTTTAAGCCACATGATTGTAGATTGGGAGCAGCTTGTATACATGTTCAGCAGTGCTGGGAGCCATGCCAGCAACCTGATCTAAGTAAATTGGGATGGGGGAGGGTCAGGTGGGATGAGGGTGTACAGGGCTAGTGGGTTCCTGGGCAGGTCCAGGAGACATATGGTGGGATAAGGAGGGAATAGTGGGTCTACAGGGGAAGATTGTCTGTCCAGGGGTGGAGGGGTTACGTAGTGCTAAAAATAGTCCGGTCAGGGTCAGGGGAGTAGAAAATGCTCAGCCCCAGGACTGTGCTCCAAATGTGTGCAGATGCTCAGTAGATCAGGCTAACCCCATTCCCGGTCTTAGTTCACCTCCTCAGGCTATCTGCATAGATTGGCATTTAGATTGACCTAACCCTAGTTAGGTCAATCTACATATAATGTCTGCATGTACCTTAAGTGAAGACACCACCAGAGATTGAACTCTGCACAGCAGAGAAGAAAAAGGGCTCTTTCTGTGCTTGTGTCAGGGCTGAATTTGACCCATAATCATAACTAGTGGGTCCCTGGGGCTAGGAAAGCGTTGTTCTTGTGAGCTCTTTTGGACAAATATATATTACATAGTCACCTGACAGTGCAGGAGACTGGACTTGGTGGTCTAAGAAGTCATTTCCAGTCCTATGTTTGTACTCGGTTTTAACATGCTAAACTATTACTCATTTCTAAAAAGAGAAAGTATGTGTCAAATATTTTCTATTTATGTTATAAATCTGTTTTTTTTAGATAGTGACCACCTGCAGAATATTGACAGATGTCTTGATTAAAAAGTAATCCTTATATCTCAACTTGAATATTTGAAAATGTAACATATAGGGCTATCGTTTCAAGTGTCTGAACACAGATTATTGATATAAAATGGGACACTTCCTTTTTATGGTGTTTGTTATAACTGTTTAAACCATTTGTTGTTTTTTTTAATATGGAAATGGTTGTTTTCCTGTAAGAAGTTTCTTAAGAATATGTCAGCCCACACGACAGTCTGGTTAAACTGGCACACAGTGTATGTTTATGCCAGCAATAGGGAGTTTAAGCTAGAAATCTTCAGTGAACTCTGAATTTAATTAAGATATGCAAAGAACATGTGTGGATAAGTAAATACATAAGGAGAGTAACAGAGCAGAAGGGACAGTCTCTTTTGTTGTTGTCCAACACTTTTTAACCAAAAGAAGCTATTTGTATTAATAGACTTAAAAGCAAAGGGAGGCTTTGGCAGAACACTATGTAAAATGTTTTGTGTGTGTGTTTTAAAGAAAAAGTATACTGGGTTTTTAAATTGTTAGTGGGGGATTATTTCAAACTTCAGATACTGATCCTGAAAACACTTGTTTTACTCTCACAAGTTGTCAGTATCTTCAAAGGACTCCTGTGAGCAAGGGTGTGAAGGTTTGGGTTTGGAGCTAGGTTCTAAAAAACCCACTGACTACCTGATGGTACATATGAAGAATGAATTATATATTTAGCACATTATCCTGTATTAATGAAGCATATTTTTAACTGCTTTTTCAGTGGCATTGTCAAAAACTTGGCTTTAAATTTCATACTTTTGAGAATTAGCAAATATAATTTCATCTTGTTCAGTCTGAAGTTGAAAGGGTACGTAGCTGGTGAAAACTAGAGAGGCTACTTTTCCTTTGAGAGAGAATGCATTTCAAAAGTTTAAAAGGCTTTTATGAGAACTAATCTACAATAGAAAAAATCTGCTATAACTTGTGGATTTTTTTCCATGGGAATCTGTCATCCTAATAGCCTCTTTCTGAAAATATTGCAGACTTACCCAGTGTGTTAAATGGGGCATAGACAGTTCTGATATTCCGTGCAAATAAAGATGCAGATGCTGAGACCTATAGCAATGATCTTGAAGACAATTAACTGTCTGTTATGTTGGATTCATTTTTTGTTAACAGAATGCTAGACAAAGATTATTTTGTGTGGTTTGTTTTTCCTGGAAAATTAATTTTACCATTGGACCCTGCTAGTGTAGTGCCTCCTTAGCTATTTTAGTTGGGAGAGAGGCTCTACCAGGAAAGACAAAATGACATGTGCTTTGTTTTAGGAGCTGTAACTATATTCCAAAGCTGTGTTGTTTTTTTAAAATGATCTCATTACAGTCATGTTGTGAAACTTCTCTTTACTTTCTGTCTCATGAAGATCACCATGAAGACCACTATAAAGATGTTAGGATGTGGGGATTGGGTGTGGTGGGGGGGAAGGGGAGAAGCACTGAAGAGTAGAAAATGGGACTGAGTCAATTGAAATGCAAGAAAGGTAAACAGAATGCTGGCAGAAAAGTCCATACAAATATTTTTGAAAAATTAAGAAAATTTAAGAAACATGGTTTTATGCCACTTTATTTTCTCAACTTGGACAGAATTCTGATTATTCTCATTTATTTTGTATAATAAACTGATCCCACCAAGCATTATGATTAATTCTCATATGGTTATATAGTATAGTGTATCATTTTATCATTTGCAAAGCTACATTTCAGAATTTTTCCATGAAGGCATTTCTTCTTTTCCCCCCTTTATTTGTGCGCACTCACTTCCTTTGAAGGTGTGCACACAAAAACTTGCTATCTGAGGTTGAACAGTTTGCAGCTCACCTTATAACCTGTCAAAGTAATTTAAAAGTTTCTTGATCGTGCTTAGGAGGGAGAGCGTTGAATTATTTATGGCACAATTATCCAATTAATTTGGGATCATTTTGTTTGGGAATTATTTGAAAAATCCT